GAGGGTTGCGATCCGTTGCCGGACACGGAAAAAGACAAAAAAAAAAAAAAAAAATTAAAAAAAATTAAAAAAAAAAATTCTCCCTATGGAGGAGGTCCAGGGGTGTTTCCTTTTCCCATGAGACACTGACGAAAGCTCATATTCACCTAGTTAGGCAAGTGTCCTTGTAGTGAAAGCCTGCAGCAGTGTTCCACTTACCTCTTTCTACATCCCCTGTCTTCACTTACTCCATTTTGTCCTGAAAATATTTTACTTTTTTAGCAGCTCATCAAAACATTTAAAATTTGAAAATATATATTTTGTCCAGGAATTTTAGTTGTTTTTAGGGAGATGGCCTTCCAGGTACTTAGCTTGGAAAAAGAAAGCACAAACACAAAATATTTTTGCACATATGTAATATAACCTGTCTTTTCCAGGAATGCAACTACTATTTAAATTGTTTTGTATTGTTCAGAATTTTACCAAGAGGTGTTCACCATTTTGGAAAATCAGAACACTAATGGCAGTGCTGCCCAATACAACACTCTTAGATCAGTCTGTATTGATCCCTGACACATTCTTAGTGATTCTAGGTATGGGACAAGTATCTGACTACTTTACTGTATCATTCAGTGTAGTGGTCCCTGAGCATTTGCATGTTGAAATGCCTTCCACTTATTTGTATTTTTTTAATAGTCAGGGCATTATATTGATTTGTTTTTTGAAATCACGTATCCAGGTAGCTAATATTATCTGTTAATTTTGCTTCAATTTAATAGAGTTACAAAATATTTGCTATAAGAGGGGACTTTGGGTCTGGTAGGGTACAGAGTCACTGGTATGGGCATTAACAGCACAGACTCTGGAGACATTTCTGCTACTTTCCAGGTATGTGACTTTGAGTAAGATGGATAAATTTGGTGTGTCTCAGTTTCTTTGTCTGTAAAATGGGGGTAAAAATACCTACTTTGGAAAGTTATTGTGAGGATTCAATGAGTTATGACATGTGAAGTTATAACAGTGCTTGGCACATGGTAAGTGTTTATAAGTGTCAGACCTTGTGATTACTTTTCACCTAATTTCGTTGTTTGTTTGTGGGTTTTTTTGTTTTTGGCTGCTGGCCGGTAGGGGGATCCAAACCCTTGACCTTGATGTTCTCAGCACCATGCTCTGAGTGAGCTAACCAGCCAGCCTTCTTTCACTTAATTTCTTGCCTTTCCCCTAAGTTCTAAGAGTTTGACCACATCAAGTTCTTGGAATGTGCAAGGATTCTTCTTGCTTTGGACATACTCTACCTGCAGCACTTTTCCCTCCCTTCCTCTCTGGCTGATTCCTACCTATCCATCAGGCTTCATTTAGAAAATGGGTAATGGCCTCATTTAGTTACTTTCTTCAAGAAGCCTACACTACCTCCCCAAGTCTGGGTGAGATGTCCCTGTATTCGCCCTAGCGGCTGCCCTTATCACAAAGTGATGTTATAGAGCAGAGAGGGCTTACATTAGCTACTGCAGGAAGAGAAAGCTCTCTGAGGAGGGAGCATTTGAGCTAAGGCCTGAAAAATGAGGAAGAGGCAGAGTACGGCCAGTACAAAGGCCCCGAGGTGGGAACTACTTGGTGAGTTGCAGGTGTAGAAAGTGAGGAGGGGACAGGTAGGAAATGAGGCTGAAGAGTTAGGAGGCCTTAGTAAGGAATTAAATTAATTAATTAACTAATTAATTTAAAAGATGACCGGTAAGGGGATCTTAACCCTTGACTTGGTGTTGTCAGCACCACGCTCAGCCAGTGAGCGAACCGGCCATCCCTATATAGGATCCGAACCCGTGGCCTTGGTGTTTATCAGCACCGCACTCTCCCACGTGAACCACGGGCCGGCCCTACTAGTTAGAAGTTTAGATCCACCATCTCCCTGGTCCAGTCACCCCACCTTCAGGCATGCAGGACATACCTGAAAATCTTTACCCTTGTGCTCAGTAATCCCTATGCCTGGAATGTATTCCCTGCCTTCTCTGCTTAGTGATAACATTCTATTCATCCTTCAAGGCCTACCTCAAAACCATTTAGGAAAACTTCTCCCCTTCCTTAGCAGAAATTAATCATTCCCTTGTCTGATTTCCCACAGCGTATATGTCCTTATGGCACTAATCACATGCTAACTTGTATCTCAGCTAGCTGTTTACATGCCAGTCTGCCCACCAACATGGTGAGTTCCCTGAGGGCAGAGGGTCTGTCTTAGTCACTCTGTAGCCATCTCCTGGTGCCTAGCCCAATGCTTAGCCTGCAGCAGGTACTCAATGTGACATCTACTCAATTAGTGGGTGGTGCCCAATACCACGCATGGCAGAAGGGAAGGAAAACAAAATAATAACTTATGACTTATCATGTGCTTTCCCATTCATTACCTGATTTGAGCCTTGTGACAATCCAATGAGACAGACTGAACAGGCACTACTAGATCCACTTTACAGACAGAATAGCTGAGGCCCAACGGCACACAGCTAGTAAGTAGTGGGGACTAAGCCCCAAACCTGTCCCCTCACTTCGGATTCAGCACTAGGTATGGAGGTGACCCAAAGAGCATTTTGAGGATATACGGCAACAGGGCTGCTTACGATGGAAAAGTGCTTTTGTGGGTGGACTAGTGGGAGATCCTTAGCTGCCACAGAGTTAACAGGAGTTCTGCCAGGGAGGACCCAGGATTCTTCTCCCTGGCCCAAGCAGCTGGAGGAGTCTGCAACACCATCTCCCATCCCTGAAAGCTGGGGAACCCTGGCCTGCGAAAGAAGAGACTGGTGTTCGGGTCGGGTGACTAAGATGACGTAAAGGATGACTGGGTAGCAGGGGCCTGCCTCTCTGTTGCTATGACAACGCAGCTTGGCTACTGGGCCCGGGCAAGGTTGGCTGAAGCGGGTTTTTCGTTAACTCAAGATTAGGGAAGGACACTTATAGGGGAGGGAGTGTGTGTGTGTGCGCGGTGAAATAAATCCAAAAAGAGGTATATTTAAGAAAGAGTTTAGCTCAGTGGTTGTCCACCTCCGCAAACGTTAAAATCATCTCAATTTTAAAAGTCCCAATGCCTAGGCTGCACCCCAGACTAAATCAGAACCTCTGGGGGATGGAACCCAGGCACCTCCAGTTATTTAAAGTTTCCCAGGTAATTCCAGTTGCATTCAAAGTTGCAAATCCAGCTTTGAGCCGATAAACGGAATTACTGCGACCTTCTCAAGATGGCGACCCATCTAGCCACTTCTTCCTTGACGTGCGCGGCAGGGGCGGGCTTTCCATGGGCGCATGCGCGTAGTGTCTCTTAGCGCTGCTCCCTCCTCCTCTTTCCCCCGCCTCCATTTTGTTCACGGACGCTGGGGACGGTGGGAGCAGATCCATTTCCGGGTTGGCAAAAGGGGCGGCAGCGGCGAGAAAGAGAGCTTGCCGGGGGGCGAGCGGGACAGGACGAAGCTGGAGCGGAGGTGGCGGAGGATCCGTTCCTGGAGCAGCGGCGGCCAGGTTGGAAAGAGGCTAGGGCGGCAGGG